ATGGTTTAGTATTGTCATGGCAGGATTGGGAATGGAGTGCCCGGGAGGGTTATTTTAGAAGATATAGATCGACGTGTAACCCCTACTCAGCAGGAAATGTGCACTTACCTACTTTTACGCAGCTAGTATGGACCACTTCACACCTCATGCTTTATCTCAGTGAGAGATGGAAAAATATAGCACCAAACCGAAATATGTCTTTGACGAACTATAGCAGGCAGAGTGAGCAGTATCATTTCATGTCAGCTCTGCATGAATGCGCAGGACTGTTGTTGAATACCTACTTCATTTCCAGTGTATTTCCTTTGTGTTCCAGTGTGCTGCTGCCAACGACGAGGGAGAGGGGATGTAGGTGAGTAAGAGGATGCACATCGAAGGAGTGGTGGTCCCCACAAAACTACTAGTGAGGTTGTCATGGATTATCTATCATGTTATTTTGTTCTCGCGGAATCGTTTTTCGAAGGAACTGCATCCTCCAATAGCAATGGTGGTCCCCACAATCGGAACAGTATCCATCAAGAAGTGGCGGGCCCCACAAAATTCCTCTTCGAGTGGTTTGCCTCCCAAAGGGGATTACAGCGCCAGTCCCGGAGGAGGGCGTCGCTCTAGGGCGACACAGGGGACAGTGCACCAACGTAGGCCCAGATAGTGTCCCGGGGGTCAGTGGGCCCAGAATAACCAAGCGGAGGAGAAAATAGCCACGGTGGCGTTGGAATCCGATTGGGAGAATCTGTGAAGCTTGGTGCAGCTTGGTGCAGCTATGTTTTTTTGGTTTTTTTTTTTGGTAGTTTTGCAAAGCTCATGCAGGATCGGTACAAGCTTTTGGAGGATATATTTTTATAAAATGAGAAAAAAAGTGTCGGGAGGATATCTGAAGTTCGATGTGTGGGAAATGTGCAAAATTTACCTCAGATATCCTCCCAACACTTTTTCCTCATTTTATAAAAATATATCCTCACGCATCTACACCAACGTGGGATGGGTGCCAGCTTTGGCTATGAGTGGGTGGATGGATATCATACCT